TTTGTCCTTTAATCGGCGGCGGGCATCATTAATATGCCAGCGGCTGTTATTCTCCGTTATCTCTAATAATGCTGCTATCTCTTTATGTGAATATTGTTCAAATATAAATAAGTTAAAGACTGTCCTTTGTACAAAGGGCAGGTCATGAATCATTGCCAAAAGTTCCTGGTAGGCCAGTTTACTTAAGCCATCCACCTCTGCATAGGCGGCTGTATCATTGGTATCTTCGGCTAAGGAGGCTGTTTGCGGAGGTTGACGCCTGAAATAATCGGCGATAGTATTCACGGCAATACGTCTTATCCAGCCTTCGAAAGCACCTTCAAAGCGGTATTGCTCCAGCTTCGTAAAAATACGGTAAAAGGTGTCACTCTGGATTTCCTGGGCAATATGGCTGTCGCTGGTATACCGGCGGATAATACCGAAAATAAACGCAGCATAAGTATCATATAGTTTGCGCTGGGCCACGCGTTCATTACGCTTACAATCAGCAATAAGCTGCATGAGCCCTTCGTTATCCGGACGGCTTGTTGCTGAATTGGGGGTAGTATGTGCTTGCTTCTCTGCCAAATAAACTTGCTAAATCCGATCTGCAGTCGTTATTAAGGACGCGATGGTGGTCGATAATGTTAGTGCGAGCGCGGATTTTTTTCTGCCCGCAAAAGTAATGTCTATAAAATGAAAACAAACAATAAAATAAACAACATAATAAAATAACATAATAATCAAAAAACAGTTGCACCGCTTTATGAGATAGGCTGTTCTATTTTATAAAAAGACAAAAGGCTGTTCAAACTGTTGAACAACCCCTGCAATCAACCATCGTAAAAGCTCACGATGCAAGCACTATGCTTATTGTATAGCACTCACCAACTTCTTGGTATAATATTTGCCGTTTCTACCCGAAATGCGAAGTATGTACATGCCCTGCGCCATACCCAGGGTATTTATCTGGTACGTCTGAAAAGAAGGGTTATTGATCTCTGTGGTATAAACAACCTTACCTTCTATACTGTAGATGTTAACGGATACTGCTTGTGTCTGTAAATCTCCG